ATTCGGGCGGGGGGTTGTATGCTCTGACCCTCCTCCGCCAGACGCACGCGGCGTCGACCCCAAGGGGGCGCGGGCATCTTGTGGAAACGAACAGTCGGAAAGGTCACGGTAATCCGCAACCCCCAGCGTGGGCATCGCGCGGCTGCTGTTCGCACTGCCAGGGCAACTTGCGCATCGGGCTACGGGGCTGCAGCAGGCGACCAGGCATGGCTCAGGAATGCGATGGGCTGGCGCCAGGAGCTCCACGACGCCGTGCTGTTCGGCGACCTCAACTGGAGGCCTGGCTACGATCGGTGCCTCAGCGCTGGCTGGCGGGCCACTGCCCCCGCCCAGCCCACCGCGACCGCAGGCGCAGCCCCTGCGAGGCTCCTGCCCTGGGGCGGGCACGGCGACGAGCCCCCGAAACACGTCGCCAACGAGTTCGTGGAAGGGATTCCGTACCACGGCCTGGCGTCTTTCCAGACAGAAGTCGAGGAGCCGCACCGCCGGCCCTTCCGCCTCCGCCACGCTGCTGGGTTTCGGGCCCGCAAGATCAGCTTCGCTGGCGAGGCTAGGATAGAGGAGATCCGCGCGCCCTGCGACGCCCTGCCGCCGAAGCCGCCGCCGACGGAACCGCTGGCCCAGCAGTGGCGGGCGCGGCACGCGCGCGCCGAGCACGCCCTCGAGGAGGCCACCGCCGGGCAGCGGGCCCAGTGCGACAGGGCCCCCGAACGCGAGGGGGGCAGCCTGCCGACCAGCAGGCCCGCAGCCCCACCTCCGCCGCCCCGGTGGGAGGAGACGGTCGCCCTGCGGCGGCTCCGCCGCGTGCGCCGACGCCTCTCCGAGCAGCTGTAACACCCTTGGCATCGTTCGGACGTGTGCATGTTCCCTTCGTCGAGGACCATCGAGGAGCGCCCTTGATCCTGCGACGAAAAAGCCACGCACGAAACCGAAACAAAAGCAGGGAATGGACGTCCGAGCGATAGCCAACACCGCGGCCGCGGAGAACAATCGCTCCCGGACAAGCACTGGGCAAGTTTCGCGCGGGCTGCTTCGATGGCATCGTGCCCCCCGCCAGGGGCCTGCCGTCCTACGCGACAGCGCTGAAAGGCATCATCGCGGCCATCTCTGGCGAGCAGGAGAAGACCTCTGGAGGCAAAATCAGAGCGTGGTCCGGTTTATTCTCATCTTGAAGCTCAAACATATGGGCTGTCGCGGCGCCTCGTTTCAAAGCTGCCGCCCCGGCTGCGGGGATCGATGCGCACGCCGAGCGAGACGAGTGGAAGGCCCGCTGGAGCCCGCCTGGCTACGAGTCCGCACCATTGGTTGAAAATTATGGGCGGAAAAAGCTTTTGTGTACCGTCTGAGGAGGAGTTCGTGAAGTGCCTCAAGAAAACGAAGGGGAGCTGCTGGCTTCGACGGCTGAACGTCGAAAGAAGTCAAACTGCTGTTGGCCGTCGCCCGTGTCCTCGTCACGGAGTTGTACTTGCTCTGGCGCCAGACGTCCGAGTATGCAGTTCGCCGCGCTGGCTGGACGCCGCAGGACCTCGTTCTGCTGGTTCCCCCATGGCATCCCGAAGAAGAACGATAACGAATCGTGCCCATAAGGGGTGGCCAGCGTGCTCTTGCGCGCCTGGCTATCAGCACTGGCGGCGGCACTGCCCGGCCCGGCGCCGAACCAGTAGGCCTGCCGCCGACATGCGAGCGTGACGCACAAGATCAGCCATTGGCTCGCGGAGGCTTGCGAGTCCGGCCTCGAGATTGACTTCTCGAAGGCCTACGACAACGTCGACCACGGAATCGCGCAGGCCGCTTTCCGCAGACAGTCCGTGCCCGAGACAGTCATCAAGACGTGCAAGCTCGCTTGGGGTGGCCCCGGAGTCTGTTGCATGGCCAATGAGCTGACCGAGCCAATTTGGCCTACAAAGTCCGTCGCGCAAAGGCACTCTTGTGCGCCTGGGGCCATGACGGCTGCCCTCGTGCCGCGGCGCCCCGACCCAGCGCTCGGGCGGGCGCTCATGGACCACAGGGGCCTGGGGGCTAAGGGCCCCACCCACCAAGACGATCTACGAGCTGGTCTTGCAGCCACACAGGCGTTCGACTCTGACGTCGGGTTTGTGGAGAACGCTGGGAAGCGCCAGCGCTGGGACAGCATCAACAAGCAGCGGGTGGAGTGCCTAGGGCCCACGTGCGTGCCTGCCGATCCACACCAACCGATCCTCCCCCGAGGGGGATGGGCAAAGCTGCCCAACGCGTTCGCCATTCTTGATTCCATGCCAGGTGCGATAGGCGGTAGGGGCTGCTTACGCGCGGCCTCTCTGGCTCTGGGCTGCCCCCCTGGTGGCGCCAGCTCCGAAGACCACGCCGGCGATGTTTTTTCGCGCGGTTATTGGCTCCAGATGCTCGTGGTGGTACCAGGGGCGGTGGTGGGCGCCGCGGGCGCGGCTCCATCCGCTGTTGCCTTCCAGGCAGTCATGGCTCTGGCCAGCCCGCAGCTGGTCTGGAGCCCGTTCGTCAAGCACGCGCTCGCGGTGCACTTCACGCTCTTGGGATTGACCAATGGCGGCTTCGAGCCCGAGTGGGGCCTGCACTTGTTCGTGGCACGCGACGACGCGCAGCAGGTCCTCAACTTCACGCGTGACACCAGAAACTTTGATTTCTCCTTCTTGACAGCTTCCGCTTCCGCAGCCCGCGTCTTTCGTGCGATGGCAAGGGTGCGTTGCCTCGAGATGGCCCACGCCAGCCGCGTGGACTCCGAGGGAGTCAGCCAGGTCGACGTGGACGCCTCCAGCCACCCGATCTGGACCAAGCTGGCGCGGGGCCCCGATGCCACCGTCAGGAAGCACCCCGAGATTTCCCGAGGCGGTGCCGCGAGGGCGCCCTGTCGAGGTGGCCACGTGGCGGCTTGTGTCGCCTGCCAGGCTCCTGTGGCCAGCCTCGGACACTGTTTCCAAGACTGCCCGCTCTTCCAGCAGGAGCGGGTGCAGATCGCGTGCGATCTTGGGTTCCCGGCGGCATTTTGGCGCACCCAGTCACGGGTGACGACCAAGTCGGGGTGGGTCACTTCCCGAGCCGGCCGGGCCGCGTCCCGCAGAGCTACGTTGCAGGTGGCGGCGTGCCGCCTCGGTATCGCCATCGTTGCGGACCCCAACGTTGACTTCTTGGATGAAAAGCCGTTTCTCCAGCACCACCACAGTGTTTGGGTGGTTTGCTGTCACCACCTCTCTCTCTCTCTCCTCCTCCTCCTCCTCCTCCTCCTCCTCCTCCTCCTCCTCCGCCTCCTGCGAGATGGATCCATCCATCTGCACCCGCCTCCGCCCCTCCGGGCCTTTCTCTGCCAATTCCCGCGCGCAGCCCCCAGTGATTGGCACGTTTTGATTGCCAGACGGCGCAGACCGACAGCATCCGGCCCGAGTGAAAGACAAACATATTGTCTGGATGCCCGAAATTGGTACGGAAAGAATGGGCACAATGCCCAACAGCAGTGCCTGTTCATTTTGAAGAGGATTCGCTGTCCACGCCGCCGCGGCCTGTGTCCATTCGAGACAGAAGGCCGCCTGCCCAACAGCGGCCGCTGTTCTTTCGGGGCAACATTTGCTGTTGGGCATTGTACCCATTCTTTCCGTGCCCATTTCGGGCGTCCCAATATTGTGCCCCATGATTTCTGATCTAGTGGCCGTCGGCCCATTCCGCCACCGCCATGCCCTCGTTGTTGGTCCGAGGCTTCGTTGGTTTTTTAGTTACATTGGGGTCTGGGGATCTCTGGGTGCCTGATTTGGGCCTCTTGGCCTCCTGGAGCGTCTGTTGAGCTCATTGGCTTCGGGGTCCCTGCTGGCTTGAACGAAGGTCGTCTTGGAGCGGAGCGCTCGAAATGTCGGTTCGTGCTCCTTCTCGGTGACCTCTCTTGGGGCCTTCCTGGCCCGTCTTCGTGGCCTCCTGGGCCCTCTTTGGCCTTTCTTGGGCCAGGGGCCCCCCTCTGGGACCTCTCGGTCAGTGCTGCGGCCATTTTGGGGGCTTTTCGGGCAGCAACGCTTCTCTTATGGTGCGCGCCTGCTGCATCATAAGACGCTGCTTGGATGGTCGCAACCGCGATTCGTGGCATGAGCATCGAGCACGAGGGATCGCGCACATGCTGGGGAGCAGGAAAGCCGAAACCAACTTCGAGAGCCTGTGAAAGCCAGCGCAGTACAGAGCGGATTGAGCTGTCATTGCCCGTGGAGGTGCTATTCTCACTGTGCGTCGCCTCCTCTTTCTCCGTCTGCATCCTCGGGAACTTCTTCGGAACAGCGTCTTTGTTGAGAGGCGGTCGGGGGTTGACGGTTGGCGCTGGAAAGGTACAGTCGAGGCGCTGACGAAGGAACCTTTTTCGTTGGGGAGGGGCTCAGTGTTCCTTGATTGTTTCACAGCTTGCCTCAGGTGTTCCTTATGTTTTCGATGGGACATCGAAGTTTAACTTGCTTGTGGAAAAAAGGGGCCTCGTTCCTTATTTAGGTTTCCTTGGGTCAACGTCCCGACTGTAGCGTGCGATGTGGCGCCGCCGCAGGCCCGTTTGTTACGCGCGGCCCCCCCACTGGGGATAGTGCGCGCCGAAGAGAAGCCTTGGCAACGGGAGCAGCGCGCACCGAAGGGGCCCCCGCGGAGGGGTCGCCCCACAGGGACGGCTCGTGTGTCGGAGATCGATGGTGCACGCCGTCCTTCCAACGCCAGCCGTGAGCTGATGGGCATGTTTTCCACCACCACCACCATAACTTGGAGGGGGAGGAGGAGGAGGAGGAGGAGGAGGAGGAGGAGGAGGAGGAGGAGGAGGAGGTGGAGGAGGAGGAGGAGGAGGACCCCCTCCCCCTCCGACTTGTGGTGGTTTTGGTGGAAAACGAGCCCATCGATGGTGCACGCCGTCTTTCCAGCGCCAGCCGTAAGCTCCCACAGACCGCAGCAGCCGCAGCAGCAGCAGCAGCTCTGAAGGTCTCCCCGTCGCCTGCCCGGAAGACTCCCCCCGAGCTGGACCCTCGGGCAGCGCGCAGGCCGCTCGGGCTCGGCGGCCACAGGGCGGACGTCGTCGCCATCTGCCCCTCGTACACGGACTCCCACTCGACCGGGCGAGCCGGGGCGGGGGGCTGCTCGTGGCGATGGTGACGGTGATGGTACGGGTGATTGTGATGGTGGTGATGGTGGTGATGATGCTGGTAATGATGATGACGATGATGATGATGATGATGATGATGATGATGATGATGGTGATGGTGATGGTGATGGTGATGGTGATGGTGACGATGGTGACGATGGTGATGGTGATGGTGATGGTGATGGTGATGCTGATGGTGATGGTGATGGTGATGATGACGTTGATGACGATGCTGGTAACGATGATGGTGATGTTGCTGATGATGATGGTGCTGATGATGCCGAGGGTGATGAGACGGACGATTATGCTAACAATGAGGATGATGATGATGACGACGATGACGATGATGCTGATGATGGTCGTGATGATGATGGTGATGAAGATGATACTAATGATGCTGCTGATGATGAGGAGGAGGAGGTGGAGGAGGATGAGGATGTGGACCGTGATGAGGAGGAGGAGAATGAGGATGGTGATGAGGATGAGGATGGGGATTAGGATTCTGATGACAATAATGATGCCGATTATGATGCTCGTGCTGATGCTGATGATGATGATGCTGATGCTGATGATGCTGATGCTGATGATGCTGATGCTGATGCTGATGCTGCTGATGATGATGATGATGCTGATGCTGATGATGATGTTGCTGATGCAAATTATGATGATGATGCTGATGCTGATGCTGATGATGATGCTGCTGATGATGATGATTATGCTGATGCAAATGATGATGATGATGATGATGATGATGATGATGATGATGATGATGATGATGATGATGATGATGATGGTGGTTGTGGTGATGATGATGATGATGATGATGCTGATGATGATGATGATGATGATGATAATGATCATAATAATGATAATGAGGATGATGAGGAGGAGGAGGACGATGATGGTGGTGTTGATAGTCAGCAGCAGCAGCAGCTGCAGCATCGCCGGGGTCCGCTCAACTGGGACGGTGGTGACCCAGGACGCCAGCGCGGCTGAGAGCGCTGCGGCCGTGGGCCGAGGCCTGTTTCACGGCTCGCCCTCCGCGGGCGGGATGCTCGGAGCCCCGGCTGGCGGCGCCTCGGTCCACGGGGGGCCCCCGATCGTGCGTGCTCGCCTTGCCCTGGCCCGCACCATCTCCTGCCGCTGCCTCATGCTCTCCTCCTCCTCCTCCTCCTCCTCCTCCTCCTCCTCCTCCTCCTCCTCCTCCTCCCACTGTTTCCTGCTCCCACTGTCTCCTCCCACTGTCTCCTCCTCCTCCTCCTCCTCCTCCTCCTCCTCCTCCTTCTCCTCCTCCTCCTCCTCCTCTCGCACTCCCCCTTTTCCTCCACGTCCTCCCCCTCGGTCTGAGAGCGGCGTGAACACCTCACTGGTGCCCTCCTGCCCAAGGGCCTGTGTGATGGGAGCGGCGGCTTGCGCGTGGCCTCTGCGGCAAGCGTAGCGCAGCTCCAGCAGCGGAAGTTTGAGATGGAACAGGGATCTCGACGAGCAAAGGAATGCTGGCCAGCGTGGGTCCTAACCGGTGCGTTCCCCGAGCTTCGATCCGAGCCGAGCCAGCACGGACCGACTCCCTCTCCAGGCTGCAGCGGCCGAGTCCGACCTGCGATCCCGCGCCAGTCCCGTGCCGGTTCTGGCGCGATGTGACCCGTTTGCGACCCGGTCTGGTTTCGCGATTCGATCCAGCTGAGGCCTGCCCCGTGGATGGGGAGGGCACCCCTCCCCCATCCCCCCCTGCGCGAACCGTGCTGGGGGCGGCGGGGGGCGAGGACGAGGGCAACCGCTCCGAGCGGTGCAGTTGAGACATGGGCGGCCTGCTTCCCGCCAAGGAAGAAGGGGGTGTCGTGAAGGAAGCGGATCCGAAGGTTTTTCGCCGTCTCTGGCCTCCTATTGGGCCAGCCTCGTGCCCCAGGACAGCCAAGAGACGACCGAGGATGAAGAAACAGGCCGTGGGGGAAAGCCTCGCGGTGCAGGATCCATCCCCGTCAGGATCTGTTTCCTTCATGGGCGCTCCAGTGAGGACCTCGCCTTCGAGGGCCGGAGGAGTTGGCATCTCTTCCTGGGCGGAAGGCGGCAGAAGTGAAACGAGGCCGCCTCCGCCAGCGGAAGACCAGCACAGGCCTTGCGGAAGCAAACCTCTTCCAAGATGTGGCAATGTTTTGGCGTGCAGTGCAGGGTTTCCCGAGCCCCGCCTCATGGCAAAGTTGAGACTTCGGCGGCCTTCTCTTCTGTGCGAACAGGTCCTCCAATCGAGCCGGAGTGGCCAAGCCAGTGGGCGGGGCTGCGTGCCGATGGTGTCATCGGCCAGCGCGTTGGCGCGAGGGGGCGCAGCTGCTCCGGCTGTCCGAAACACCTGGGCAGAGCAGCAGTCGACCAGCGGTTGTGGCCTCCCTTCCCCGCCCCTCTGTCCTCCTCGTCCCTCCCATTCTCTTCCTGCTCCTCCTGTTCCTCCTCCTCCGCCTCCTCCTCGTTCTCCACGCCCCCTCCTCTTATCGTGTTCCTTCTTCTGCTTGTTTACATCGATCTATGTATGTTGTGTTGTTTTATGTGTGTATATACAGTTTTCAGTCGTATTCGTATTAATAGTAGTAATTTTATTCTTCATGCTCTGATTGGAATATTATTCGTCCTGGTATGATTACTACTGCTGATCTTGTTCGAGAGCGCGCTCGCTGTCACGACCGGCCCTCGGCCCGAAGGGCCCAGGCATCGGGCACACGCGGCAGCAGACAGACAGACAGACAGGCAGACAGACAGACAGACAGACAGACAGGCAAACAAAACAAACACACACACACACAAACAAGCAAGCGAGCAAGCAAACAAGCGAGCAAGCAAGCAGACAAGCAAGCAATAAGAAGAACAACAACAACAACAATAACAACAACAGCAACAACAACAACAGCAACAGCAACAGCAACAGCAACAGCACCACCACCAACAACAACAACAACAACGACAACAACCGCACCACCACCAACAACAACAACGACAATAACAGCACCAACAACAACAAACACAAAAAACACGGGCGCCTCCCGCGATCCCCAGCTTCCGCGGGCCGCTCGTCGTTCCCTCGGGCCCGCGCTCTCTCTCTCTCTCTCTCTCTCTCTTTCTCTCTATATATATATATATATATATATCCAAGAACGCGGCGGCGCGCCGTCCACGGAAGGCCACCTCAGGGGCTCCTCGGAAGGCCGCAGGGCCTCTGATCAAGGGAGGAGAAACCACTCCTCCTCCTCCGCCTCCTCCTCCTCCTCTTCCCCCACTGTCTCTCTCTCTCTTTCTCTCTCTCTCTCTCTCTCTCTCTTTCTCCAACAACGCGGCGGCGCGCCCTCCACGGAAGGCCACCACAGGGCCTCCTCGCAAGGCCGCAGGGCCTCTGATCAAGGGAGGAGAAACCACCTCAGGGGCAACGATAGGGGGGATAGGAATATGGGGGAAGGCATTGACCCCCAATCGCGCATGAATCGCCGATTGGGGCCCGATAGCCCCAACCTGCCCAGGAAGGTGCGGATTTACTATCGGAGGCCTATCGCCGATCTATCGGCGATGTATCGCCGATATCAGGTCGGTGCATCGCCCCCTATGCCAGTATCCCCCTATCGTTACCCCTCACCACCTATACTGGACAATTGGCGTTTACTGAATGGCCCTGGGCGTTTACCAGACAGCGTTGCCCTGTTCGATTCCTCCTCTGGGTGCGTTTGCTAAACGGCTTCGCGTGTCGGGGTGGTTGTTATCGGGGTGGATTTTCTGCCCTCTATCTGAGGAGCCCCGCCACAGGCCGGCAGCGATGTTCACGTCGGCGTTCGGGAGCTTCGGGACGGGGGTCGATGCAAGCGGGGCTCAGCCATAGCGCCCGATTTCGCAGGATCCTGCAGGGCCAGGGTCGCATATTGACCCGGGCTTGTGTGCCGGATCTTGCAGGGTCTTGCAGGATCCTTCGCATTGACCCTGCAGGATTTTGCATGGTTCTGAAAGGCCTGACTGACCCGGGTCTGGACTGACCCGGGCCAGAAGATCCCCGAGGAGTTCCAGTTTTCGTGCGCCGAAGTCCCAAAAAAGACACCCTCGGCGCGCCTCCGACAACCAAAAAAACGCACCACCCGGGGCGGGTGAAAGAGGTTTGCTGTATACGCATTATGTTTCTCCTCTTCCTCCTCCTCCTCCATTCCTCCTCCTCCTCCTGCTCCTCCTCCTCCTCATCCTCCTCCTGTCCTCTTCCGCCTCCTCCTCCCCCTCCTTGTCCTCCTCCTCCTCCTTCTCCTCCTCCTCCTCCTCTCCTCCCTCTCCTTCTCCGCCTCCTCCTCCTCCCCCATTCCATTTCCTTATAAAGAACTCCTCCCTGTCGCACCCCGAGGCGTGTCGGTAGGGCGGGCCGGGCGTTTCGCTTGAGACGTCTTGCGGGAGTTTCACGGATGGAAGGCGACCCTTTTTCAAGATGTGGTTCTCGCTCTGACGCCGCGCACATTTGTCCTAACATGCTGCAAGAGCTCCATCGATGAAGGGCGGTACATTTCCAAACTGTGGTTCTCGCCTTAACGCCGCGCACATTTAAAAATCAAGAGCTTCACGGATGGAGGGCGGTACCTTTTCAACAAGAGGTTCTCGCTTTTGCGCCGCGCAAACTCGCTTGAAGATATCAAAACAGATTCAAGGATTCTCATGGAACAACATTTTGGCACGATGTCGGATTGTCAGGGCGCAACTGTTACGTCGATTCGCGGCGTTGAAGTACCAGGAATGATGTTCTGGCACGATTCGGATTCGTCAAGACTCAACAGTGACGATGATTCGTGGCGTTGGAGTCTCAGGAATGGTGCCCTGGCACAGGTCAGGATTTCCAAACGGTTGTCTTCCAACGGGGCCCTTCCTTCAGTGAGCATGATTCTCTGTAGCGGTCTATGAAGACAGAGCTCGGAGAGAGGGTTGCTCGCAATATATGTGATGAGTCTTGGGTCTACACTGGTCCTC